ACAACCGTCTATAATAAAACAGCAGTCTTCTGCGTATCCTGAATTTGTATCCCTGGAGTGGATGTTATTTTGGAACTTTCAACTGGTCCGAGTGAGCTAACTGATTCTTTAGCAATAAACTGTGACCAAAAATAATATTCACTGACACTGACAGCAGCAAGCAAAATATCAGGTGCGTTTTAATCATCCGCTTCTGCTTCCGGAAGCGTAGCAAGAATGGAGAAAACTTCTGGGAGATTATCGAAAACTAAGAAAAAAAAAGAAGAAAAGTGGCCACCCTAGAGTAGGACGTTAAAAGTGTTAGACAAGCGGTACTGCAAAGCCCATGCCACTCCTTTGCGTTACTTCAACGTCCATAGATCCATGTTGAAAGTAACATGCTTTGAGTCAAGGAATGGATTGTAAAATGCCCCACGCCCCTTTCTTTTCTAATGGCCAAGTACTACTCAATCAAAAAATACTTTTCTATGCCCCACCATGTATTAAAGCAGTGAAATATGTTGTGACCATGTCAAAGAGGTATTAGTCACCAAATCCACTTAGAAGATAATAATATTCGAGGTGCTGTTTTTAAAAGTTAAAAAAAAACTGCTTACCCAAGATCATTCTCAGTATAATAGCGGCGGTAGATCCACCATATTGAAGTGCAATTGGGAAAGCAATGGTGACTATCGATGATATCACCATACAGGTACCCATTATGTGTCTGCCGCCCAATTTATCAGCCAACCAACCACCGGGCACGTGACTGACAAAGTAGCTGCAAAAAAACGCATATAAAATAACGGCTTCCATTTGATTGTCCCACGGAAAAGTACCACCTTCGACTTTGTCTATTTTCTCGTATGTGTATTGTGGACATTCATTTACCTTTAACACAAAAAAAATATATCAAGTATAAAGCAACCATCAGTTGGATCCAAGGGCGGATGAGACCCTGCTCCGGTCCAGCAAAAAAATGGAAAAGCATCGGGAAATCTCTCGGTTTCCCGGTGGATCTATCCGCTCCTGGCTGGATCTTAAACCGTGACAGAATAAGCAAAATTTTTCAATGTAATTTCTATTATTCTCAGAATGAGAACATAAATATTTAAATATTTAATTGGTATATGAAATAGTAACAAACATTACAAAAAACAGTTCATTCTTACTTTTGCTGTATAGTTTCTGTCATCCACCATTTCTGTAATTGCTATATTGAGCACCACCCTCAAATGGTAAGCATTTAGAAGAGCCAGTTGCATAAAAATAACCATAACATATCTTTGATAAAGCACGCATTTTCCAAAAGTACATTTTAATAGATTAAATGGCATTTAATATTGTTTTTCTTGTAAATAGTTAATTACTTAAAATAATAGTCATGTCTGTTTGACGTACTCTCAGTGACATTGAAAGAGAAACTCTACTATTAATTACTACAAATCATCTATTAAAGTTACACTGATAGACACACAATATTATCATTTGACAAACTGGGCCTTACCTAGTTTTTAAATATCCATATATCCTTGGCCTAAATTTAGTCTAGTAGATCCCAACGAAGTGATTTAGTAAACAACAAATTTAGAGGGAGAACAAAGTAACTTTTCACTTCTAGGTATAGTTCGCTCGGTGATTTTGGACCACCGAAAATATGTATATTTAAAAGAAATTGAAAGTAACCTACTCGTACGCGTTACAACAAGTGGAGGTTCAAACGCGTGACAGAAGAATAGTAATTAATTGCAAATAATTAGTAAGATGCTTCGAAAAACACGAGAGAATTAATAATACTGAAAAATGCGTAAACAATATTTATTTCTACCATAAATGAACCATGAATGTTTTGAAGAATGGGTGATCAATAGACTAGTCAGACCTTGAAAATTGCTTATCAAAAATATACATGTACAGGGTGTTTCTAAATTCGCACCCCTGGTTGATGATATATTTAACAGGTGACAATAAACAATTTACACATTTTTGATTGATCAAAGAATTAAAAAAAGTCTAACATTGTTTCTACAGCTTAGTAAAATTTAAAATCATCTGCAAAGAGGACCTATTGCTTTCAATTAGATTTATAAACAGACAGCACAATAGTGGAGCTAAAGTATTACCTTAAGGGGCACCACTTGTAGCTAAAAATTCATATATGGTACCCTATGTATTCAAAAGTGAGTATACGATTATGACTGTAACAGATTTGTACCAATACCATGAGTCTATTTTTTTGAGAAGCACATTATCAAGACCCTTCGAGAAATCAGTATAGATTACATAAAGCTGTAATTTATTATCAATAGTATGGCAAGCATATTGGACAGAGGAACATTTTGTAAACCACTTTTAAAAATAGGACATATTTTTAGACTTTTTCCACATACTCGGATATATATTAGATTTTGATTACGATTCATGATAATTTGCAAGGGTTTTCTATAAAACCATGCGAATAACCTTAGAACCAAAGACATTACAATGTCTGCTTAGAACATATATATTGTAAGCGAATAACCACTGACTATGTAATTGGGAAAACGTCAATTTCACTTGAAGGTTTAGGCCACTTAGGCACAGTTTATAGCTTAAAAGAATCAGTTCGCTCACTCGGACCAATTGGATGTTCCAAAATAACATCCACTCCAGGGATACAAATTTAGGATGCGCAGAAGACTGCTGTTTGAATATAGGCGGTTGTCATATATTGTATTAGGCCACATACTTTAAGTATGTGTATTAGGCCACATACTTTGATTACTATACGAGGCAAGAGAGAGGTCCGACACGCCCAACATAGGGCGCGGCCATTTTGAACCCTGTGGCACAGTTTACAGCTAAAGAATCAGATCGCTCACTCTGCGTCGGCACTTTTGATCTCAATGTTCCAGTTTATACACTGTGCAACTCGGATAATACAATATATGACAACCGCCTATAATAAAACAGCAGTCTTCTGCGTATCCTGAATTTGTATCCCTGGAGTGGATGTTATTTTGGAACTTTCAACTGGTCCGAGTGAGCTAACTGATTCTTTAGCAATAAACTGTGACTTCAAAAATAATATTCACCGACACTGACAGCAGCAAGCAAAATATCAGGTGCGTTTTAATCATCCGCTTCTGCTTCCGGAATTGTCGGTTTAGTCGTTTTAATCTGTCAGATTAAAACAAGAAAACCGACAATTCCGAAGCAGAAGCGGATGATTAAAACGCACCTATTAAAAATATTGCGCCAAGATGTAGGCAACACGTAATAAGGGTTCAAAATGGCGGAGTTTTCTATTTCCTTTTAAAAGGCACTCAGAAAGCTGCGCAGTGCGACCATTCTCCGTATAGTAAAAGAAAATCAAAGTATGTGGTATTAGGCACTTAATGTGTCGATAACTGTCAAAGACTTTAATGAAATTATAGAATTGTTTTGAGATTGAAGACAGTTTGTTTTATTATTAACATCACTAACCTCGCAGACACATTTCATTGATAATATCTCGACTGGAACATATAAATCCAAAATTGAATAAACTACAGCCAAAATAAATTTCATTTAGAAAGGACTAATCTGTCTGTGTTAAATGAGCATATAGATAGGGGACATTTGCTTTTATATAGTTGTACCTAACACTGTTGCCTAACAGTGTTGTCTAACACTGTTGCAGTGAAACACAGGATTTAATTTTGGAAGGCTATTTTCAATTCTTAGTGTGGGATGATAACTCTACAAATGGATAAGAATAATGAAGTACATGAAAAAACCAACTTCAAAATACGATCATCTTTATTAAATATATAATTAATGCATCAAACGACTTACCTGAAGGAAGTTCGATCCTAATTATGGCAGCATCCTTGTTTTTATCTATTTCAACTTTATTGTTAATGATAACTTCGTTCTTATCGTAATTTTCTTCATTTTCATCTTTATCGGTTATAATCTTTACTTCATTAGCTATTGTATCTGTTGCTGTTAACGTTTTAATACTTTCATACTTTTATTTGGCTCTTCTTTATCGACACATTCTTCGTCAGAATCATCATAATCTTTTGTATTAGGTACTAATTTTGTTTTTATTTACTTTATTAACTTGGGTTACTGGAATTTTGTCTGTATCATTGTTTTCTTTGGGTATTTCCTTATCCAATTCTTTTTATTTTAATCTCTGGAATGCTTGTTTTCTGCATTGCCATTTTCTTTTCCTAGTTAGCTTTATTTATACTAGTATCAATAGTTTTGTTATCTCTCTTTTCTTCATTATCGTTACTTTCTTCATCGTAATCGTCATTATCATAGTCTCCTTCGTCATAATTATTATATTCTTTGTATTCTTCATCATTTTCTCTACTGGATTTGTTATAGAGAAGTTGATTGTCATTTCTAGAAAATGAGGCGATTTCGAAGATAAATTTATCATGCAAAAAATGTTTATTTTGATGTGCCCTACCATTCCTAAAACTTTGGTGGTATAGTCAAAAGCACCCAATATAACCAATTACAAATTAACAATCTAAAAAATAATAAAAAGTACAAGAACTTCAGAGAGGGTACGGCTATAAACATTGAATCAAGATGGACAATATTTGGAATTTTCATTTAGTTGTCTTCATCCTGTCTTAATCCTGTGAATAATTCTATGAAAATAGTCCAAGATACTAATTTTTATCTGCTCCACATATTCCCTATTATTATCGATACACATCCTGTAAATAAAGTTGAGAAAAGTTTTCGTTCAATCATTCGACCATTCACCGTACCCAAATCGGCTGCCCACGTTTTGTGCTTACAAAAGAATTTACGACAACCGTATTTGGGTATTTCGAAAATAATGGGAAATTTAAAATTCATTACGTTGATATATTTATTTGACTAGTATTTAGGTGGACCCCCACGAAAAAGACGGCTAGCACAATAGAAAATATGTTAATTGTGTTGAAGAATTTATAAAAATTGAGCAATTTTATGCACGATAAAAAATTGTTTCATAAAGCAATATAAATATATCGTCTATTTCTTTTTTTCAGACACTTTACATGAAAGAAAATTCGCTCTAAGGCATCCCAGTATTTTGGATACTTCCTGTGCGCATATTACACCGCCAGTAATAAAATATGGAGTTCTGCTAGAAATAAAAACGCAAAAAATTAAAAACCGAAATTCCATATACTCCCTATACATGTTGGCTGAATATCGATGTCAAGATGGTACAAGACGCCACCTATTTTGCAGCAGGAAAAGATGGAGAGGCCGAAAAACGATTTGCACAAGTAAATACATAAATTTTTTCTAAGACGTCTTTACAAAATTGAACTTTTGTCAAAGCTTATTTACATAAATATTTTATTTGCAGGAAACTCAATTGGACCAAAATATATTCCGGATTTCCCAGTATATTTAGGAAAATGTTCGGAAGAACAGCAAAAGTCGTGCAAACATTTTTGCGTTTTACTAAATGGGGAACCAGTTTGTAGCTGTCCATCTGGATTTAAACAAACAGGAAATAATAATTGTGCAGGTAAGCTCTCTATATTAATGTTATTTCCATAGTATCTAACTTCTCATATATATTTTAATAAGCTCCTTCTTTAACTTTTATCCCTTCCTCCATTTTGCTTAATTATAGCTATCCAAATCCTTCTGCATCCTAAATTCTACCACCTTTTCATCATCAACATCCTTAGCACAAAATTTCGGAGTTTCTTATATCAACGCTCAATTTTTATCATCATTTCCAACATCTGATGTTTTTTTCTATGTACTCCTAATTTAGTAATCTTTTCTGGCTTGCCAGAATCTCTAGGTATGCTTACACTATTTAAAATCTGCTTTATTATTTAATTTATAGATATAAACGAATGTGAAGATCCTACAATCGAGGCCAACTGCAAATATGGCTGCATAAATTACAACGGGTCCTATCACTGCCTCGAAAACGACAATCAACTCCTCTCTGATGAACCCAGCAGAGAAGAAGATGAGGAATACGAAGATGGCGATGATTATGACGATGGAGACTACGATGATGAAGATTACGATGAAGAAAGTAACGATAACGAAGAAAATAGAGAAGATAACGAAACTATCAATACAAGTGTAAATGAAGCTGAAGATGGTAAAGAAAATGGTAATGCAGAAAATAATCATTCTATTGATGAAAATAGAAAAGAATTAGATAAGAAAATAACCAAAGAAGACAATGATCTAGACAAAATTTTAACAAGCGAATTTGATAAAGTAAATGAAGAAAAAATAGGTAATACAAAAGATAATGATAAAGATTATGATGAAGAATATGATGACAAAGAAGAAGCTGATAAAGAAGAGTCGAAAGAAAGTGATAAAACGTTAACAGAAACAGATACAATAGCTAATGAAGTAAAGAATATAACCAATAAAGAAACTACGATTGATTATGAAGACGAAAATAAAGAATATGTTGATAAAAACGAAATTATCACTAACAATAAAGTTGAAATAAATGAAAAAAATACTAAAATTAACAATACTAATGTAAATTTTATTCAAAAAAATGAAGTAATTGAAAATAATAAAAATAAAGAAATTTCTACTGATGAAAACAATACGATTTCTAAAAAATTCGACATAATTTACGACGAGGAATATGATTATGATTACGATTACAGCGAAAACCGTAAAAACAATACGGTTTTTGGACAAAAACTGATACCAACTTTTAACACTAACATTCCTCAAAAAATGGATGAAAAAGATAAAAAAATAAATGAAGTATACGATAAAATGACAATTGCTTATAATTATAACAAAGAAACAGAAAAAAATGAAGCAACAACAGTGCCAAATATTAGCTTGAGTACGACCTCAACTGAAGTATACTTAAAAATTAATACCAATACTAATATAACTGATGCTAACACAAATAATAATTCTTCTGTTGAAGAAGATCCGATTGCATCTTCAACTACTGAGAAAACGAATGAAATAGCCTCCAACAAAATACCAGAAGCTGCTAGCACGACCTCAACTGAAGTATACTTAAAAATTAATAATACTGATGAAATCATTAATAATATAACTGATGCTAACATAAAGATTAATTTTTCTGCTGAAGATGATCTAATTGTATCTTTAACAACTACAACTACTGAAGAAACTGATAGAACAACCTTCCACAAAACATCAGATGCTGATAACACGACCTCAGCTGAAGAATACTTAAAAATTAACAACAATAATGAAGAAATCATTAATAATATAACTGATGCTACAATAAAGAATAGTTTATCTGTTGAAGAAGATCCGAATGTATCTTCAACTATTGCAACTACTGAGGAAACGAATGAAAGAACATTCAACAAAACATCAGACGTTGATGCTGATTCCACAGTAGATTATGATGATGATTATGATGAATCTACAGATTCTATATTGAGTACAACATTAAAAGTTAGTACCACAACCGTTAAGACACAAAATACAATGGAACATCTTTCTATTAACGTTATTCGAGACAAAATTGATGTAGTTGAAGAAAGTACAAATGATATTTCAAATAATTTATCACCTATAAACAATTTTCGTTCAAAAACAAATAATAAAAATATAACAGATATTGTAAACGAATATGAAGAAAGTTATGATGATGATGATGATTCTGAAGAAGAAATGATTACTAATAAAGTAGATAAAAATAAAACTGCATCATTTGATGAAATTAGAAATTCTGAAGAAAAATTTTCGAAAAATTTCGTGCATACTGATATTTTCGCAACCAGCACTAGAAGAATCGATGAATTAGACAAAATTACCACTACAGAAGACAATAATTTTGATAAAAATAATATAGATAGAAAAAGTTCAAAAGCTCCTAGTACAACCACTGTCAATTACGATGAATATGACTACGATGGAGAAGATTATGATTCTGAAAAAGAGGAAAGTACCGTGGTGGATAAACAGGTGGAAAAATGTGAAGAAGGCTATAAATTAAGCGATAAAGGAGAATGTTTAGGTAAGTAATATTTTTAACAAACCTTTGCTAACAGAGACAACATCATGACATAACCTATGTATCTATGGATTTCGATTTTATTTCTATAATTTTCGGAAAACTATGCATTTTATTACATTTTGTGATGGCCAGTCTCTATGGAATGAATACATTTGTTAAAATAAATATATAAAACTAAAAATAATGCTTGTATCCACCTTAAATTTATATCGCTACCATTTTTTAAACGAGGGCCGTTTAACATTCTAATACATCTGCAGTGGGATTCTTATCTTTCAATTCGGCACGTAATGAGAAGTATCTATCTTCGTTCGACAGATTGCAATTCGTATGTAATGTCTCTCTCTATTAAACACGTAACGTGTTGAGTTCGCACATAAGAATCCTTGTCCTGGTCGAAGGATATTTCAAAGATTTAACCACTCTTACCAAGTATTCTCTTGTTTCCTTAACATCCGCCTTTTTTAGATATCGACGAGTGCATACCAGAAACCAATCCATGTTCCGACATCTGCGAAAATACAGCGGGAAGTTACACCTGCACGTGTCCGGCGGGATTTAAACTAAATTCGGCAGATCCGCATACCTGTCAAGATATAGACGAATGTGAGACGTCACCGTGTTCGCATTTGTGCAAAAATATACCGGGTTCTTACCGGTGCGAATGTCCTCCAGGATTGACTTTACAGAACATGACGTGCGTCAATTTGACGTGTTCCCAGGGACAAACTAGAGTCAACGGGGTTTTGCAGTGCACGTGCGCACCTGGATTTCTGTTAGGTACGAACACATTATAAGTAATATCCATAAAAAATGTTTCTAAAGTAGGCAATGACCGATAACGACAGTGGTACGAGTCATGTCCGTGATAACTACGCATAATTCTGAAATAAATCTAAATTTTTATTTATTTTTTCAAGACCAGAGTAGTCATTCAATGTATATTGTTATTAATACGTCCTCTTCCCATTAACCTTATTCAAATTCTTACATTATTTAATAGTTTTGATTTTATCATCTAGGTAACGACGGGCGAACTTGCGAAGACGTAGACGAATGTTTGCTAGAACAAAGTTGCGCGCACATATGCACGAACGTCATTGGTTCGTACGAATGCAGCTGCAGAGATGGTTACAAACTAGAAAGAGAAAGACTATGTATCGATATCGATGAATGTGCAGGTAAAAATAGCGAAATTAAATCAGTTTTTTAATAAGTTATTCAATAAAACTTGTTACGGATCCAGGTCTCAGTCATGGTTGTCATCAGCTCTGCGAAAATTCGCCTGGTAGCTACAAATGCAAGTGTGAAGAGGGGTACGAGTTTAAAAATGGCTCCAATACTTGTATTGATATAGACGAGTGCGATGATGAAAGAGATTTACATGAATGCAATCAGCTTTGCATCAATTATCACGGTATGATAGATATTACGGTTATAAAAAATTAAATATTAGTTATAAGATTTTTTTTAGTTTTAAATTTGAAATAATTTAGCTGGCGCAGTCAGTAGGATCAATATGTTTGCTAGTCAGAATAAATAAACTAGACAAATATCTATCATCTTTTAGTATACGCTTTGTTTTGTCTGTAGTATGAGCGAGTGGGAGGGACATTGTTTATATAACATAGGCGTATCATTAATTTATTTTAATATGATTGGTAATTTACTGAGATTTACCGATTAAAATATATTTAAATTTGGGTATTTTCAACATTATTATAAAATTTATAGGCTTTGTATCTATTTTATTTATAAGCTGTATCTGACACTTTTCACTGTTAAATTATTCTAAGGCTCAATTTGAAAATAGTCAATGCGTTGACAGTACCAATCTTAAAGAATCGTAAACAAAGCTGTAACGGAAGAAGGACATGTTCTAGTCGAACAAATCTTGACATTTACGTATACAGTTTATTTATTTAAGTTAACTTCGTCAGCAAATTGTCTTCTAGAGCTTTGTGCAGCATTAGTACGTGCATATACTTGTATTTCTCCATTTTCCTGCTCTTTTATTTTATTAAAATTATCATTACATTCTTCTAGGTGGATACGAATGTTCCTGCAATCACGGCTACAAGCTATCTTCCGATGACGCTACATGCGAAGACATTGACGAATGTCAATTGGACAACGCGAACTGCACTCACATCTGCGAAAATTTACCAGGATCGTACAACTGTAAATGTGACGAAAACTACATACTACAAGCAGACAATCACACTTGTAGGATATCAGACCCTTGTTTAGAGGACAACGGTGGTTGTTCCCACGAATGTTCTTCCAACAGAGATGGCTCTGTTATTTGTAGTTGTCCTAAAGGCTACATTTTGGAGGACAGAGATTGTTATTTACACGATCCTTGTGTTACCAACAACGGAGGTTGTTCGCATATATGCGTTAATGCGAATAACGAAGTCAGATGTGAATGTCCTGCAAATTACGAGCTGATAAACAGAACAACCTGTTCTAAAATTAATATGTGTACCATAAATAACGGTAATTGTTCGCATTTTTGCGAATTTGTTGAAGATAAAGTCAACTGTATGTGCCCCGAATTGTACAGTCTACAAAACAGTACGCATTGTATCGAAATTAATCCTTGTTTCAAGGATAATGGAGGTTGCAGCCATATTTGCACCTTCGAAAACCATTTACAGACTTGTGCATGTCCTGAAACGCATAAATTGCATAACATTACTCATTGTTTTGAAAGAAATCCTTGCTTAGAGGATAATGGGGGTTGTTCGGATTATTGTAATTTCACTGACAGCATTTTATCCTGTTCCTGTCCGAAAAATTATTATCTTGAAGGGAAAACTTGCTACAAAATCGATCACTGTCTAAACCACAATGGTGGGTGTTCGCATATATGTTCGACAGATCAGGAGAACAACGTTAAATGTCAATGTCCCGATAAATTTTACTTGAAGGACTCGAAATCCTGCGAACCTGAAGATCCTTGCTTGTTAAACAACGGTAACTGTTCACATATTTGCAATTCTAAAAGTGAATTAAGCCTATGTTCCTGTCCTGATGGTTATAAATTGAAGAACGCCACGCATTGCGAACAATCTCATTCTTGTTCTGTAAATAATGGAGGATGTTCTGATATATGCGAAAGTATTTCAGGGACAGTTAAATGTTCTTGTCCCGTCAATTATGAATTAGTGGATTCTAAAAATTGTGATATTGTCGATCCATGTCTAGAAATGAACGGTGGCTGCTCACATTTTTGCGAATATCTAGATGAAGAGGTAAGCTGTTCAATTCTTAACAAATTTTCTAACTTTTAAATTTTTAACTTTCTTAATTTTCAGGTAATATGTTCCTGTCCTGATCATTATAACCTCATAAACGAAACAACTTGTGTCAAAGTCAGCGCTTGCTTAGTCAACAATGGAGGTTGTTCCCATGAATGTTCTACTGATGAGAGAAACAACGCTTTGTGTTCTTGTCCGAAAGGATATGAACTAACGGAAAAATCTTGTGTACCGATAAATCTTTGCAATCACAAAAACGGCGGTTGTTCGCATATATGCAGCAGCATCGAAGGACACATAGTTTGCAGATGTCCTCCAGGTAAATATTTCACTCTTAAGAATCTTAAGAATCTTAAGAATCTTAAGAATCTTAAGAATCTTAAGAATCTTAAGAATCTTAAGAATCTTAAGAATCTTAAGAATCTTAAGAATCTTAAGAATCTTAAGAATCTTAAGAATCTTAAGAATCTTAAGAATCTTAAGAATCTTAAGAATCTTAAGAATCTTAAGAATCTTAAGAATCTTAAGAATCTTAAGAATCTTAAGAATCTTAAGAATCTTAAGAATCTTAAGAATCTTAAGAATCTTAAGAATCTTAAGAATCTTAAGAATCTTAAGAATCTTAAGAATCTTAAGAATCTTAAGAATCTTAAGAATCTTAAGAATCTTAAGAATCTTAAGAATCTTAAGAATCTTAAGAATCTTAAGAATCTTAAGAATCTTAAGAATCTTAAGAATCTTAAGAATCTTAAGAATCTTAAGAATCTTAAGAATCTTAAGAATCTTAAGAATCTTAAGAATCTTAAGAATCTTAAGAATCTTAAGAATCTTAAGAATCTTAAGAATCTTAAGAATCTTAAGAATCTTAAGAATCTTAAGAATCTTAAGAATCTTAAGAATCTTAAGAATCTTAAGAATCTTAAGAATCTTAAGAATCTTAAGAATCTTAAGAATCTTAAGAATCTTAAGAGTCTTAAGAATCTTAAGAATCTTAAGAAGTTTTTCAAAGACAGATTCTACAAAGTGTATAATTTTTCCTTTAAAATAATTTTTGGCAACTTTTTGTCTACAGGACACGAATTAATTAAAAAAACCTGCTTTAAAACGAATCCTTGTGCCACTGACAATGGCGGTTGCTCCCACGGTTGCAGTAATCACAAAGGCGAAGTAAAATGTTCCTGTCCACCGGGATACAAACTATTCGGAAAAACCTGCATGGATGAAGATCCTTGTACAAAAAATAATGGCGGTAAAACATCCTTATCATCCAAATATTAATTTGTAATTCTTTAATATTGATTTTTAGGTTGTTCTCACTTCTGTCACAACAAAGAAGGCAAACGACACTGTTCCTGTCCAGCAGGATATCTTTTGAGGCCCAATAAACGGATGTGCAAGGAGATCAACGAGTGTAGAGTGGACAGAGGTGGATGTTCTCATGGTTGCAAGAACTTACCTGGTTCTTTCCAGTGTACTTGTCCGCAGGGCCTGCGGTTGGACGATGCGAAGAATAAGACTTGCATGGATGTGGACGAATGTCTGAATGATAACGGTGGATGCGAGATGATTTGTAGAAATTTCAAGGGTGGATTTAAATGCGATTGTCCTGAAGGGTATATCTTGCAGGTAAGGTGTCGTAATTTAATTTTCTTTGACAATTTCTTCCAATGCGGTGTTTAAAAGGCTATATCAATAATTTTATGCTAGATAAATATAGAAAATATGATTTGTAGAGAGACAAACGTTCATGTAGAATGGCCAAAGTAGCGCTTTGTAGAATACCTGCAGCTCCTAAGAATGGTGTAATAAGATGTTTTGATGAAAATTCAGAAACTGGATCGTTCGTACCGGCTGGAACAAAATGCAACCTTTGGTGTAACGAAGGATACAAGCTTATGGGGGATTCCCAGAGAATATGCAGCGATTCGGGAAATTGGGGAGGCAAGGAACCACAATGTCTGGGTAAGTTTTGATATATGAGAAGGTTTTCGTTATACATTTTTTAGTACAAATCTTTTAATACACATTTATAAAATGTAGTTTTTATTACAGATTTTTTTAATATAGATTTTTATAATACAGATTTTTTAATACAGATTTTTTTAATGGAGATTTTTTAATACATATTTTTTAATACAGAGTTATTAATAAACATTTTTTAATACAGATTTTTTTCATATAGATTTTTTAAAGACAGATTTTTTAATACAGATATTTTTGTATTACAATTTTTTTAATACAGATTTATTTATACAGACTTCTACGGATTTTTAATACATTTTTTTTAAATACAGATAGTTTAATACATTTTCTAATATAAATTTTTTAATACAGATTTTTCAATACAGATTTTTTAATTAAGATTTTTTAATACAGATTTTTTTAATATAGATTTTTTAATACAGTTTTTTAATACATAATATTTAATAACAGTTTTTTAATCTCAGTTTTTTAATACATATTTTTAAAATGGATCTTTTAATACAATTTTTTAATAAAGATCTTTTAATATACTGGGTGACAATGAAACCAATGCTACGTTAATACATCTTTTGTTTACGAAGACATTTGAATTAAATCTGGAACAATTCTACTAAGTAGATATAATGTTTAATTGACACTTATACATAAACAAAATAGTTGACTTTCTGTTTTACCTGAAATGCCATTAACTTTGAATTTTTAAATGGATTACCCTATATATTTTATGGTTTTTGAAATCTACAGTTCAAATTATTCAATTAGATGAGTGCCTTACCAAATTTTTTTTTTCAAACAATTCTTCTTACATTTTTTTTTAAATAACACGAAACAGAAGTTATTGTTTGTTCCAAATTGTTAAATAAATAACACATATGTTAATGTAGGCATCGGTAGATCTTCTAATACAGATTTTTTTAGTACATGTTTTTCAGTACAGACATATCTTTTAGTACAGTTATTTTAATAAAGATATTTTAATACAGATTTGTTATACTCACAGTTTGATATAGATTCTATAGAACACATATTTTAATACATATCTCTTGATACATATATGTTTTAATATATATATTTATTATATATTTTTTAGTAGGCACAAATTTTTTAATAACTTTTTTATTACAGAGCTTTTAAATGCAGGATTTTAATACAGGTTTTTTAATACAGATTTTTGTTTTTCTAGTTGCTACCTGTCCCAAATTGCCTTCGATCCAAAATGGCTGGTATTTGCCAGGAGTTTGCAATTCTGGCAGGACTTACATCGGTGAGTCCTGCAGCGTATACTGCAGGAAAGGTTTTATGATACGACACGATATAGAAAGATTTGTTTGTGATCCAAATATGAACTGGATGCCTTTAGTTAGGCCTGAACTATTGTACAATGCATGTACTAGAAGTAAGTAAATTGGGATGTAGGTTCTTTAAGTCATTTCTGGTTATATCGGATATATTTTATTACTTTTTAATAATATAGTGTCTTGTTTAAATATATCTTCTTTTTAGTGCCAGATAATGTGCATATAAACTGCCCAGAAAAAGGTCAAATTGAATTCATATTACCAAAAGGACAGAGGTATATGTTCACCAAAATTCCCAGACCCGAAACTAACGTCGATTGGAGGTAATTTTTTAAGACCAAAAGTATTGCATTCATTTTCCTTTTTAACTTGTACAAATTTTCATAACGAACAGCCATTTGGCTCCTTCAATTTCACTCCTATTCATTGCTTATACACTCTAACTTCAACATTTGTTGAAATTTGAAAATTTGAAAATTATGTTTCTAGATTTTTTATAAATATTTTTTGAAATTTTGAAGTTTATAAATCTATTAGTTTGGAAATAGAGGCGAAATAAAGGCTCCAATGTCAAATTTATAACAAGTAAGAATTCAACTTTGATGCCCTTTAACTTTAACATCTGTTAAAATTTGAGAATGCTGTTTGCAAAATTATGTTTCTAGACTTTTTGTAAATGTTTTCTGAAATTTTGAAGTTTATAAATCTGTTAGTTTGGAAATAGTGATGAAATAAAAGCTCCAATGTCAAATTTATAACAAATAATAATTCAACTTTGATACTCTCTAACTTTAACATCTGTTAAAATTTGAAAATGTTGTTTGCAAAATTATGTTTCTAGACATTTTATAAATTTTTTCTGAAATTTTGAAGTTTATAAATCTGTTAGTTTGGAAATAGTGATGAAATAAAAGCTCCAATGTCAAATTTAAAACAAATAAGAATTTAACTTTGATATTCTCTAACTTAAACATCTGTTAAAATTTGAAAATGTTGTTTGCAAAATTATATTTCTAGACTTTTTGTAAATGTTTTCTGAAATTTTGAAGTTTATAAATCTATTAGTTTGGAAATAGTGATGAAATAAAGGCTCCAATGTCAAATTTATAACAAATAAGAATTTAACTTTGATATTCTCTAACTTAAACATCTGTTGAAATTTGAGAATGTTGTTTACAAAATTATGTTTCTAGACTTTTTATAAATATTTTTTGAAATTTTGAAGTTTATAAATCTATTAGTTTGGAAATAGAGGCGAAATAAAGGCTGCAATGTCAAATTTATAACAAGTAAGAATTCAACTTTGATACTCTCTAACTTTAACATCTATTAAAATTTGAAAATATTGTTCGCAAAATTATGTTTCTAGACTTTTTATAAATGTTCTCTGAAATTTTGAAGTTTATAAATTTGTTAGTTTAGAAATAGTGATGAAATAAAAGCTCCAATGTCAAATTTAAAACAAATAAGAATTTAACTTTGATATTCTCTAACTTAAACATCTGTTGAAATTTGAAAATGCTGTTTGCAAAATTATGTTTCTAGACTTTTTGTAAATGTTTTCTGAAATTTTGAAGTTTATAAATCTATTAGTTTGGAAATAGTGATGAAATAAAGGCTCCAATGTCAAATTTATAACAAATAAGAATTTAACTTTGATATTCTCTAACTTAAACATCTGTTGAAATTTGAGAATGTTGTTTACAAAATTATGTTTCTAGACTTTTTATAAATATTTTTTGAAATTTTGAAGTTTATAAATCTATTAGTTTGGAAATAGAGGCGAAATAAAGGCTGCAATGTCAAATTTATAACAAGTAAGAATTCAACTTTGATACTCTCTAACTTTAACATCTATTAAAATTTGAAAATATTGTTCGCAAAATTATGTTTCTAGACTTTTTATAAATGTTCTCTGAAATTTTGAAGTTTATAAATTTGTTAGTTTGGAAATAGTGATGAAATAAAAGCTCCAATGTCAAATTTAAAACAAATAAGAATTTAACTTTGATATTCTCTAACTTAAACATCTGTTGAAATTTGAAATTGCTGTTTGCAAAATTATGTTTCTAGACTTTTTGTAAAAGTTTTCTGAAATTTTAAAGTTTATAAATCTATTAGTTTGGAAATAGTGATGAAATAAAGGCTCAAATGTAAAATTTATAACAAATAAGAATTTAACTTTGATATTCTCTAACTTAGACATCTGTTGAAATTTGAGAATGTTGTTTACAAAATTATGTTTCTAGACTTTTTATAAATATTTTTTGAAATTTTGAAGTTTATAAATTTATTAGTTTGGAAATAGAGGCGAAATAAAGGCTCCAATGTCAAATTTATAACAAGTAAGAATTCAACTTTGATACTCTCTAACTTTAACATCTATTAAAATTTGAAAATATTGTTCGCAAAATTATGTTTCTAGACTTTTTATAAATGTTCTCTGAAATTTTGAAGTTTATAAATGTGTTAGTTTGGAAATAGTGATGAAATAAAAGCTCCAATGTCAAATTTATAAAAAATAATAATTCAACTTTGACACTCTCTAACTTTAACATCTGTTAAAATTTGAAAATATTGTTCGCAAAATTATGTTTTTAGACTTTTTATAAATGTTCTCTGAAATTTTGAAGTTTATAAATCTGTTAGTTTGGAAATAGTGATGAAATAAAAGCTCCAATGTCAAATTTATAACAAATAAGAATTTAACTTTGATATTCTCTAACTTAAACATCTGTTGAAATTTGAAACTGTTTGCAAAATGTTTCTAAGCTTTTTATAAATATTTTTTGAAATTTTGAAGTTTATAAATCTATTAGTTTGGAAATAGAGGCGAAATAAAGGCTCCAATGTCAAATTTATAACAAGTAAGAATTCAACTTTGATGCCCTTTAACTTCAACATCTGTTAAAATTTGAGAATGTTGTTTGCAAAATTATATTTCTAGACTTTTTATAAATATTTTGTGAAATTTTGAAATATATAAATGTGAATTTTGTTCTCCTAAACACTGATAAATTTTTAAAAAAAGTCCATCGCGCTGACCTGATTTCATTAGCATATATATTTTTTTTTTGTTCAGTTTCGTAACGTCTCAGCCATCTTGGGGAATACGATTGGAAACCACGTTGCCGGCTGGAAGAACTGAAGTCCGTTTCATGGCTTCTTCGCCCACCGATTTTAACAGTACCTCTTCTTGTCTTTTGGTTATTAACGTATTGGACAAGGAGGCTCCGTATATGTCGGGATGTCCTAGAAACATCGAAAGGAAGCTAGCAATAGGCGAATCCACTCAAATTGTTTATTGGAAGGAACCCGATTTCTTTGATAATGTTGGTGTTGTAAACGTTTATAAAACCAGAGTAAGTTATATTTTTATGAGGTTGTGGCTTTGTGCATTAACATTAGAAATGCAAAATTTTATTTATTTGAAAAAAAAAAACATTTTTAACCATAAAAATAAATAATAAATAAACTAAGTACGACGCTGTATAAATTCCAGACATGCGCTATATTTCAATATTATAAAACCATAAAATACATTTTTCATGCTGTTGCTATGTGAGATTGGAAATACTAAAGTAAAAACATTATTATTTTTAGGAACCTGGAAGTGAGTTTGGGTCAGGATTACATCACATTACTTACGTAGCTAGTGATGAAGCTGGCAACAGGGCTTTCTGCCATTTCAGCATAGATATAAGAGGTGTGTTAAAAAAGGCTTTTAAAATCAAGTAGATTTTGAACTTATCTCATTTTTATGTTTTTAGACGATTTGGACAATAATGAGCAATCCAATTCAATTGAACAATACAGTTCAGCTACCTATACAAGTCACAGAACTGCAGGAAAGTATAGAGCTGTACTAATTTGCCCCAGTGGAGTGCAATTTACAGCAGATAGATATAATGTAAGTACAATCAGTTCAGGAAAGTAAGATAATTCAAACGACTGAGAAGAATTGTCGCACGAGGCGTAAACAGACGATAATTTTAAAAACAAGGATTTAATATAATTATAAAAGAATGGCAACGCTGTTTTATATCAAATTTTATAACCATAATACAATTTAAAGTTGTCAAATAGTAATATATTGTTAAATATATGGTATTATATTGTAATATTTTGTAATATATTGAAATATATTGTATTATATTTTAATATATTGTAATATATTGTAATATATTGTAATATATTGTAATATATTGTAATATATTGTAATATATTGTAATATATTGTAATATATTGTAATATATTGTAATATATTGTAATATATTGTAATATATTGTAATATATTGTAATATATTGTAATATATTGTAATATATTGTAATATATTGTAATATATTGTAATATATTGTAATATATTGTAATATATTGTAATATATTGCAATATATTGTAATATATTGTAATATATTGTAATATATTGTAATATATTGTAATTTATTTACATTACCATTTTTTTTTTAAATCTATGACAATATTATTTAATTTTCTAGAACATAATAACGAGTCAAGCAGGCTGTTACTGGAGACACGTTAAAGTGACGAAACCGATAGAACCGCAAAATTTCTTAGTACCCAAAGTGTATACGCAAAGCAGGCTACCACCCAACGTAAGAAGTAACCGAAGAGTGTTCTTCAAATGGAATCGATGATGGATGTAAAAATGACGAAACTTTTTAATTTAGTGTAAATTTGGAATTTAAGGGTGTCGAAAGCTAAAAAAACAATGCCATAACGTTAATGAATCTTTTTTATACCTATATATGTTATATTTATAGACATTTTATAAATGTTACCATCGTTAGTGGATTTTATTTTGTATCGAAAGTTTGGATAAAAGATTTTAAATAAAAATTATAATCGAAACAATGTATTTTTATTACGAAGGCGTAGAAGGGCCACATAGTAAAAAAAAATATTTCGACTTTAAAGTTGAAATTCCGACTTCAAACTCGAAATTTCGACTTTAATCTCGAAATTTCGACTTTAATCTCGAAATTTCGACTTTAATCTCGAAATTTCGACTTTTTTCTCGACATTTCGACTTTAATCTCGAAATTTCGACTTTAATCTCGAAATTTCGACTTTAAACTCGAAATTTCGACTTTATTCTCGAAATTTCGACTTTTTCTCGAAATTTCGACTTTAATCTCTAAATAAGTCGAAATTTAGACTGACTTCGGTTTGGCGTTCGCTGTACTCGGAGTGCACTCGGTATGCCTCAATTGTGGTCGTTTTGGCACTCAGAGCGTTCTCTTTTGTGTTTGGCTTGCCACAGATCACGTACTCAGAGCACGCTCACTCTTCTCAGAGTTGGCCGGTGGAGATCAACGGGTATCTGTAGGAATGTGTCAAAAATGTCAAACGTCAATATTCTAATCTATGATTTAATCAGTTTATACGTATTATTACTTGTTTGTTTTTGTTATAACTATTTCCTATTTGACTAAAATTAATTTTTTACAGTCCATTCCACACACAAAAGTGTATTCAAGTGCAAACTATCACTAGAGTGTCATTTGTCATTCCCGTTGTGTTCGTCTTGAGATTGCAAAAAGAGCGAACTCTGTCGATGACGTCACTCACTCCGTGCGCGCTCTGTCCGATCCGTTGAGTTCCAAACCGAACTTATCCTTAGATATTAAAGTCGAAATTTCGAGATTAAAGTCGAAATTTCGAGAATAAAGTCGAAATTTCGAGAATAAAGTCGAAATTTCGAGTTTAAAGTCGAAATTTCGAGATTAAAGTCGAAATTTCGAGATTAAAGTCGAAATTTCGAGATTAAAGTCGAAATTTCGAGTTTGAAGTCGGAATTTCGACTTTAAAGTCGAAATACTTTTTTTTTACTATGTGGCCCTTCTACGCCTTCGTATTTTATCAACTACACGTAAGAAAGAAAATAATACACCAATTTTTATATAAAGCACATTTTATTTCATACCGAATTCGATTCTACAACTATTTTAAAGGAACAAGTCGAAAACAGTCTTGAATCAGGATCTTTGACAGTAAAAGTTATATCGTGTCGTCCTTCCCTAAAATATCCTTCCAAATCCTTCGCCCATCTAGGTTTAGATTTGACATAATTCCAATGCACGTCCGTAGTGGGCGAAGAAAATTTTACCAATACTCTTTTTTCACCATTCGCTATTGTAACATGTTGGGTTTTTGGACATTGGAGCTTTGGAGGAGAGGCACCTAAAAAAACAAAAATATAATGGTAATTACATGGGTTGGATAGATAGATTTTTCCACCTCTTCAGGCATTTCTCTACTCTTCCCTGAGGGTTTGCGCATGTTTCTCAAGTCAGGCTTGTGTTACAGCTCCCGTCAAATAGGCTCTTGGGTTCCAGCCTGTTTCTTCTCCTTTGGTGTTCGCATGGCATTGTAACCATGGGAATATTGTGCCAAAATTTGGATACCCTACTCTTTCCCATTCATTCAATTCTGCCTATACATTCCATTGTCTAGATGGTGTATCTTTAAGATACCTAATCTATTTACAGCATAATTTAAAAAGAGTTAACTCACCAACACATTTTCCTATTCTTTTACCATGCCATTCACCACTAGTTTCACAAAAGGCATAATATTCACCCACAATCCTATAACCTGCAGGACAAATTAATTTACAAGTAGTTCCAGGACTATTTATCGTCCTTTTTCTTCCTTTTCTGGTAATGGACTGAAAAGCTCCTTTTCTAGAACAACTAATGAACCCGTACGAAGGAGGGAATAAAGGTTTGCAGACTGTGCTGGCCGATGATGATTGATCGCTTTGCATGTCAGAAACATCTAGGCATATATATGAACCTTGAGTGTTTAGACAGTTTTTGCAGGTTTTTGATACGTGGTCGTTTTGGCACTCATTTATGTCTAGAAATAAAAATAATTATCTAAAGAATTATTTATAATATTCGTAAATAAGAACAAACCTTGACATGTTTTCCAATCTGAAGACAATTCCAAACCAGATGGACAGCTGCAAAAAGACCTCCCTAAGGTATTGATACAAATATGCGAACAGCCTCCATTGCTTTGAAGACACTCATCGATATCTTCACACGTATGTCCATCAAAACCTGTGGATAATACACTAAAGTAGTCACGAAAACATTAAAATATCTATAAACGTTTTACCCAGTTTGGTGCCGTTCAGAGCATCACAAGAACATTCATAAGAACCAAAAGTATTGATGCAAGTGTCCTGGCAAGGACCATGTCCGTTTCTCAACAAACATTCGTTGACGTCTTGACAGGATAATTTGTCGTCCGTCAGAGCGAGTCCTTCCGGACATTTGCATACATACGAACCAATTAGGTTGATGCATTCTGTTTCACATTGCCCATTGTTGGATTTGCATTCGTCTATATCTAGAAGAGATTTGAGGGAAGAATATAAAAAACTGTTGCAATACTATCTTCTAACTGTTGACATATTATCCAAAGTATATTAGTCCGGGTTTATTGTGATTTAAAGTTATTTTTGGTAAAAGAAAAGTGCGCCATGATGGTAAATTTACTTTTTTACTTGTCTAGTAATAAAGAAGACCCCTTAGGTGTTTATTATTGATGCAGAAAAAATTATAGTCTAATTTTAAATTGGTATATGATTATGTTGAACGATGTATAATGTAATTCGGTAAATTAGAATAGGACCCTTACCTAGAAATGGGTCAGGAAAAGGTGGAGCACTTTGCCCTAACCAAAAAATCTGCATAGCTTTACAATGGCGCACCTCCCGCTACACTGCCTACTCGAATTATTAGTAAAGTGCTTTATAGATTATACGGTTATATTCAAGATAACAAAAAGTATTAAAAATGTTAATACAAATTCCAGGTCTCTGTTTAAAATAATCGACCTGAGGGTGATTACACAAAAAAGAAACTTATCGATTTGATTCATTAATTTTTAAGAACTAAATGAAAAAAAAAAAAATATTACTAAAATATGTCGATCAATAAAACCGTTAGAACTAAAAAAAGGTAAAAAATTAATTTCGTGAATGCTGAAATGACCAAGTATTTCGGCCTACAGCTATTAAGTTATATCCATAAAAAAAAGAACCAAGATCAACTGAACCAATTAAATAAAAATTCAATTGAACTACTACTCCTATTTTACAACTTCGGTGCTATTAAAAGATATTAAAATCCAATTCATAAATCAAGTGCTAAAATGGTAATAAAGTATTCAATATTGCTTAGTTATTTTGTTAAATTAAACACGTGCTTTCGTAATCGTGCGATTAATCAGGACAAAAAGTAACGGCCCTTAATGTGATTCCACAGATTACCCCAGATGCGAAACCCGGCAAAACATCAAGGGATATTGAAATGAGAATTATATGGCCTTGAAACTTTAAATGGGTATGGCATAGGTGTTGCCCATTCTTAATATTGTCAATAGGAATCCGCATAATCTCTCCTATTTTATTTCTATTGTTATTTTTAAAAAGTTTATTTCGGAATATTATATATTTTGTTGTAATTTCATATTTCAAAAATAATGTGTAATCACTGTTATCATGTTATCAACGACACAGCAAATACGTTCATTGGGATTATGTCCTTCAAATTTACTTTAAAAACTGAAATGGTTTACCACAAAAAAGATTGAATAGTAACGTCGGAAATTACATATTTAGAAAAAAATATTGTATTACAGTTAAATTAAATAAATATTTTCGATTTTAACTGTTGATGTTTTTGTAATATGTTGATTACTGATATATTGTTAATTATGTACGAACGAAAATTCATTAGGTATGTTTTAATTTTATTCGAATTTTTAGGTTTTTTCGTTTTAATCTGACAACAAAACCGATAATTCAGACGCAAAAGAGGATGATTAAAATGCACTTATTGTCACACGTGGTACCAATTGTCACAAACCCGTTATAAATTATAAATATTGCAAATTTTTGTATTTATCAAATAAGATAATATGTGTCCTAATTATAATTCTTGGACTTCGTTGTTGGGGACACCATTAAAGAGTAAATCATTCATTTTTCTAATGCGGAAATCCTTTAAAATGGTGCGTCCTCACCGAATCAACACTGCTGATCGACTCTGTCTATCGACATTCTTGATCAACAAGTCTACAAAACTGCTACACCATAGTTGACAGAAATGTTTATCGATCAGTCGAAATTCGACGTTAAATTCATTGGCAATTTCCATAAGGGCATCGTGCCTCAAGTTTCTGCTCTTATAGTTTTTGTCTTTAGAATCCCACAGATTTCTTTAGTTTGTATGCCTCAAAAAAAGCTATGACTTTATCTTGTTCCCATTCCATTTCTCCAACGAAAACACAACTACAATGTCAACAAGGCAAGACGTTACTGAGTACCTACTTATGCCGCGTTTGAGAATCCACATCGGATGCATTTTTTACATCTCGAGCGTTTTTTATCCACATCGGACATCCGTCCCATTACATTTACGTATACTGAATCACGTGATCAAAGATTTACTACATCTCAGATGCATCTGATGTGGATTCTCAAACGCGGCATTAGTATGCAGTACTAACAGTTTGTCGAATGTCGAACGTCGAAAACACACGCCCACACACTAAAGTAGATCAACTGCTCTTTCATGTTTACCGACAGGCGATGGAAAACAAATCGATTTTTCGAATGAGTCACACCATTCTTTAAAACTCTGTACTTTGATTGAGTTAATGATATCCTTGTAGTGTCCAGGAGAAAATGTGGCTCTTGCCGCACTTCCCCTTAAATTGGCTAAAGCATCTGCTCTCTCGTTGCCCGTGATGCCTTGGTGGCTTGGAATCCATGCAAATCGTATCTCTTTGTTTTGATTGGATAATTCATAGTACATTTCTCTGATTTTTGGGATGGTCGAGTCTGATGATGACTTACAGCTTATATATAGGCAGCGGCACTGAAATGTTTCAAGAGTTTGTCATACATTCTGTATTGTCAATCTTGTAGTACGAATTACTGATTGACCGAATGAATGATCTAAAATGATTGAGACCACTCGATTTGGCAGTTGTCATTTCTTCTCTATAGTTCTTTACACTTCTAATTACATTTTTTCTCTATATTTTAATATATTTAAATAAATAGGATATCATTAAAATCAGTCTAGCCGTTCTTGAGTTATAAATGGTATAACTAACCCAACTATGTTTTATTTATTTAGATATGGAATATGATGCGTCTTTTGCTGTTGGGAGGGAATGGAGTAGTAAAATCACTTTTTTTTAACTATAATTTTTCGTTGAGTTGATATGTAAATTGGTTATGAAGTTTCAAATAACGTTTTTTAATTTAAGTTAGCGTTCCTTCTATTGGTTGAGATATTTTATAATAAATATTCTTACCCAGACAGGATCTTCGGTCTTCTCCTAGATAGAATCCTTTGATGCAAGAACATTTTATTTTGCCTTTAGGGTGACAGAAATGGGCACATCCACCCCTGTTTCTTTTACAACGGCTATAGACCAAATTGCGATGTGATAAAGCATTACCCTTTTCTAAAAAAATAAACTCTTGAAGTTGGGATCATGTTAGAATTTTAAATGTTTTACTCATTTCGGAAAAAGGAAATATAACTTACCTGTAATATTTTTTAAAGGATCGACAATACCATCTGGCATCAGAATTTCCTTATCGCCAGTACGTTTCTTGCTTTTAAACTCGTCAAAATTATCTTCAGGGTTTTTGTTCAGCTTTTCGATTAATTTATTTATTGTATCATTGGACTGGGTTATTCTGGAAATAATAATCCCTTTGGCGGTAGTGATTTCTAGTATACTGCTGTCACTTTTTTGTTTTTTTCCGTTTTTTCTAAATTTTCTTCTTCTTAAATTTCGTTTTTTTGCCATAGTGGTATATTTCAACGGTTTTTGTTTCATTGTGGGTCCCAGAGATGGCGTTGTTGAATTTGAGCCTAAAATACTATTTTTGTTGAAACAAATGAACAAGGTATTTGTCTATACAGTTCGGTGCTCTTTAATAAAAATTTCGCGCCCTTGCTTCAAAAGTGACATAACTCAAAATTCACATCCTTTAAATTAATACCAGCCCTTCCACAGCTTTCTATAACAAAACCTCAAAAATGACAGTCACTATCTAGAAGAGTTGCTTAGGTTCACATTCATTATATTAACTCAAAATATGTGAATTTTGAGTTGTGCCACTTTTGAAGCAATGGTGCGATTTATTTAATTGGTTTATCACTAGAATCACTCATTTTTAATTTACTTTCACGTTACTTAATCTAAGCGTCTTTGTATCCTATATGGATGATAATTTTACCTATTCTTCTTCTTCTCGGTCTTTTTCCTCTGAATCTTCTCAATTTTCTTTTATGTTGAAGGTGACTTTTGGTTTTGTTAGAGTTTGTAGTCAATCCAAATTCGGAGTTATTACTGTTTGGAAGATCAGTTTTAGCAACAAACTGAACGGTCACATTCTGTTGGCCGCTGTCTTCCAAAACGTTAGTCGTAATTAAATCCACATCTGCTGCAAGCGAACCATATTTCGATGATGAATCTTGAAAAGAAATAAAACACATTTTAAGGCACAAAATGCTATTATAGGAAAATTTAGAAAATTAGTAAAAACAGTATGTGCCTTTTGATGTCGAGATTAAATCTAAATTTCGCTAAATGAGTTGGCTCTAATTGAATTTCCTCTCGTGTGACTTTTTTTTTAAAGTAAGTATTTTAAGACAAGCATGTTATTCAGCACATTCTTGCTTTCTTGCTCTTTCAATTTCTATCTTTAAATCTTTGATTTCATGTTTCAACCACGTTCAATATACGGGGTGGTGGCGCAATTTTTAATTGAAATACCTATATTGTTATTTAGTAAATTAGAATAAAACAGGTTTTTATTTGCGTTCTTAAAATGGATTACTAAACAGAAATATGATTCTTTTCCTTGAAATTTATCTTATTATGTTAATATTCATTTTTCTAGTTGTAGACATTAGTTTTATAAAATAAATATAATATAATGCTTACAATGCAATAAAATAAACACGTTTAATTTATATTAAAAGTATTTTTAATTTTTTGATAAATAAAACTGGCGCAGTCAGTAGGATTCGTGCCAGTTATAGAAACTATAAATTAAACATTTTATTGGTTGATAGACTTGGACTTTTAGTGAACTACAGTGACTTTTCACAGTTTTAGTTTTCAGCGTGAATTCTAACCAAGTAACCAACCATTCTCATCTAAGGAAAACTAATTAGAATAGCTCTTCAGAGGATAGCCCTTCAGAGAACAGCCCAAAGTAAGCGACTAATCGAAAAAATTCCTTTATTTTCCTTTATTTTCCTTTATTTTCCTTTATTTTTCTTTATTTTCCTTTATTTTCCTTTATTTTCCTTTGTTTTCCTTTGTTTTCCTTTATTTTCCTTTATTTTCCTTTATTTTCCTTTATTTTCCTTTATTTTCCTTTATTTTCCTTTATTTTCCTTTATTTTCCTTTATTTTCCTTTATTTTCCTTTATTTTCCTTTATTTTCCTTTATTTTCCTTTATTTTCCTTTATTTTCCTTTATTTTCCTTTATTTTCCTTTATTTTCCTTTATTTTCCTTTATTTTCCTTTATTTTCCTTTATTTTCCTTTATTTTCCTTTATTTTCCTTTATTTTCCTTTATTTTCCTTTATTTTCCTTTATTTTCCTTTATTTTCCTTTATTTTCCTTTATTTTCCTTTATTTTCCTTTATTTTCCTTTATTTTCCTTTATTTTCCTTTATTTTCCTTTATTTTCCTTTATTTTCCTTTATTTTCCTTTATTTTCCTTTATTTTCCTTTATTTTCCTTTATTTTCCTTTATTTTCCTTTATTTTCCTTTATTTTCCTTTATTTTCCTTTATTTTCCTTTATTTTCCTTTATTTTCCTTTATTTTCCTTTATTTTCCTTTATTTTCCTTTATTTTCCTTTATTTTCCTTTATTTTCCTTTATTTTCCTTTATTTTCCTTTATTTTCCTTTATTTTCCTTTATTTTCCTTTATTTTTCTTTATTTTCCTTTATTTTCCTTTATTTTCCTTTATTTTCCTTTATTTTCCTTTATTTTCCTTTATTTTCCTTTATTTTCCTTTATTTTCCTTTATTTTCCTTTATTTTCCTTTATTTTCCTTTATTTTCCTTTATTTTCCTTTATTTTCCTTTATTTTCCTTTATTTTCCTTTATTTTCCTTTATTTTCCTTTATTTTTCTTTATTTTCCTTTATTTTCCTTTATTTTCCTTTATTTTCCTTTATTTTCCTTTATTTTCCTTTATTTTCCTTTATTTTCCTTTATTTTCCTTTATTTTCCTTTATTTTCCTTTATTTTCCTTTATTTTCCTTTATTTTCCTTTATTTTCCCTTATTTTCCTTTATTTTCCTTTATTTTCCTTTATTTTCCTTTATTTTCCTTTATTTTCCTTTATTTTCCTTTATTTTTCTTTATTTTCCTTTATTTATTTTTTAAAATTAAGTGTTGTTTATGAAACAGCTGAAATATTTACAAAACGTCGGAAACAAATCAATAAATACCAGGGCTATTCAAAAAATCTATCAATTTTTTAACTAAATTAATTGATCAATTCTATAAAATAAAAAAATAATATATTGTTTCTCCAACTGGTAAAAAAAAGAAGAATAATAACAATTTTTTAATACATATATATAACTTTCATATTAAAATGTTTAAACCCACTTATTAGTTATGAGCTCATTCGTTTTTCCTCTCTATTTTTAGACCTTACCTGATGATGAGGATTTGATCCTCGAAACCGGTCGTAATAAAATACTCTTGTGAGATCCTAAGGACCAACTTTGTTTGATTTACCTTTTTGAACTTATAACTCACACATGGCTACCACCTTCAACTTTAATTTTTTAATACGTGGCTTGTGTTCAGAAATTTCTTATGTGTTAACTAATATAACCTTATTAATTTAGTAAATTTTAATAAAGAAAATATTTGTTTTGAAGAAAAAAATACACTTGTTTCTATATCTGTAATATTATATTAACAATTTTTGTAAGTAAATATTCATTGAAACCTATTTTTAATTAATTTGTGAATTGCCATAATTAAATTTAAATCTAAAAGAAAATAACGAAAAATAATGGAAACCTCTCCGAAAAATCGGTATGGACGCTCATGATTCTCGAACAATATCAGTACCAGTATCGATTATGTTTTAATAACTTGCAAGCAATAATTTAATTGTCGAATAAAGGTCATTATAATTTAACAATTATGTTGTTTTTGATTCAGGAATTTTTAAACTAAATACATGTTATAATTTTGTCTACCAGAGCTTACAAAAAGTTATTTTATAAGACTTAAATGATTCATCTACTAGTTTAAGCTATATATACCTACTTTATGACAATTCCTACAATTAATTTAAAAAAAAAGTGATTCCTTTTTAATGTTACGTATAAACGATTTTATCCAGCAGCACTGGTGTATTATGATTTTACATTAATTGAAAAGATAAATAGGTTTCTAAAAAAGTAGAACGAGGTTATGTGCATTTTAATCATCAAATATTCAATTTGTTTTATTATTATTGATTAAAAATATTTTATTGCTCCTAAATATTTTGCAAGAGTTCCATAGTTTTATTTTTTAACAAATTATTTTTTAATATATTAAATCTGCTTTTAATTTTAAACCAAACGTCTGTATTTCACAAAGTCAAGCAATTGAATAACTACTTTATAAAACTACTGTCTACAACAAGAAAAATGCATATTAACAGGATTATTGAACACTATATCAGCCAATAACAATCAAATTTTTTTTTTAAAATAAAGTTACAGATTTAAATTTTCTTTATTTATGTTAATAAGTAATTAACTTTTACTATAATCATTATGAGACAGATGAAGACGAAGTTAGCTAGGGTTTATTCCCTCTTAATTTTACTTTTTCGAAAATAAGAAAGTTTAATTGCAAATTAAAGGTGATTGCCTAATACACCGCCTCTGATAATTAAGTTGTGTTTGTACTTACTTATGATATAATCTTGAAGAAGCATTTTCAACAGGTCTTTTACACATAAAGCATATTTTCACCATATTATTACAGATAATAAATCTTAAATATACATTTAAAACCCTTACAAGGCTATAAATAATTATATTTTTCGTAAAATACAAATCAAAAATTGGCAACGCTAATTAAATCGGTGATCTCGAGTAGAGTCCCGACTTCTCTAGGTCCCTTTGAATGATGTCCGAGTAGAGTCCCGGAGATGGTTGAGCAGAGTCCGAAGCTCATTATCTCAGGTACCTGAATTATTTTATTTTTTTTAGTTTATTTTTTAGGGAACATGGTAATAAAGTAAACCAGCTTGATAAAAAAATGTATTTATTAATCATTTACAGTGCTATAAATATTTTTAAACCTAAAATAAGGGTGATTTATTTTATATTTACATAAACTACAAAATTAGGTTTTTTACATTTTAAATCTACCTTAATAAATTTCAAGTTTGTTATATCATGATTTTTTTAATTGCCATATCTTGTCATCTAAAAATTGTTTGTTTTCTATAGTTTTTGCAGAGTATATTTTTTTTTCATGTTGTTGCGCTGTCCTTATCTTTATGTAGGTATCACTTTGAAAATCTATTAAACCGAAATAAATTGAAAAATATGAGGATGTGCATGGTAAAATGCAGAATTAAACCGTGAATGAAAACTTTCGCAGGCATTTGTAGTTCTCTTAACACTACTTGTATTTTCAGCCCATATGTATGGTGGAAATTTGGACGATTCTGTTATGTAAGTATCTACAAGATAATCTGCGAATGATGTAAGTTTGGAATTGCTGGGTTGAGAAGAAATTAAATCAATAGCAAAACAGTCTCCAACATCTATTGAATTAAGAAACGGCAAACCAAAACAGTTTCTCAAAAATTTTCCAATTTCTGAATCCTTATCCTTGTATGCAGTAGTAAGGCCAAGTTGTTGTATTTTTCGCCACCTAAAAAGTGCATGTTGCATTTAGTAAACTGACAGCATTGAAATATATATTTTTTAAAGAAAAATTACGTCTATAAGTTTTGGACAATCAAATTTTATTAAACTTTTTTCCTAATAATATTTTAAATCTCTAATACTTAATTATAAGGACAATCTATTTTTAAAATTTAATTTCCTTAAAATCAATAAGTATTAAAGATACAGAACCTAGCAAAACATTATTGAACTAACCCTAGTCATTGAAATATTTATCAATAACTTACCATGATTGGCCCAAATGAAATCTACATCCAACAATACTTGTCTTCGCCCAAGTTTCTAGCACATTTTGGTGGATTGCCTCTTCAAAATCTGCCACTACAGTCGTTGGTCCCAATATTAATGCCAACATATAACTTTTCTTTTGCTTATTTGGAAGTATGAAAAAGACTAGAGGTACATAATGGTCACCTGCTAATCCGTGAATGGAGAACATTTGAAGGAAAAATTTGGTGCAGCAATTGAATGTCCCATCCACATATATGGATTTCAAAGTGCACAAGAACTCTA